TATATGGCTTAAAACATTAAAATGCAGGATGACTACATTAATTGCATATGATAAATTGATATGGCCAAATGAGGACCAAATATAGTAAGCAGAATGTATGAACCTAATTAAAGTATCACTATGGTGCTATGTATAATTAAAATAGGCCAAATATGCGTTACTAGTGAAAATTGCAATGTCCGAATGAGGGCAGAATACGGACTGAACTGTGAATGCCTCTCTAGTTAGTGAAAGGCTGAACATGGGGCGAATACATGTTGAATGTCAGTAATAGTCTGGCCCAAAGAGGGCTGAATGAACAAACTTACAGTTTTGTTATAATAAACGGGCAAACAGCAACAGGAAAAGCTGCGGCAGTGCCCCATGAGCTTTGAAGGAGGCGGCTGTTATTTTTACTAGAGTGAGGTAAAATCAATACTTGCGTGGGCTGCACAAAACCAAGACCAGCCTGTTTGGAGTTTAGAAGAAAAATCTCTGTTTCTTCTCATATCACTGTAGTCCAGGGTCCAGCTTGATGTTTTTCCATCTTGGCAAGGATATTTCACAAAACTCTCTCTTTTAAGTTGTGCAGAAAATTAAGTCAAACGCATTACCAAAACTTAGTTGATGAAAACAATGCTATCAGCTGAACATTCTCTCACGTCTTCATAGAACACAATTTTGTTAGTTTGTAATGATCTATATTATTATTATTATTATTATTATTATGATATTTATAGAGCGCCGTCAAATTCCGCAGAGCTTTACAATGGGTGGACGAACAGACGTGTAGTTGTAACCAGACAAGTTGGACACACAGGAACAGAGGGGTTGAGGGCCCTGCTCAATGAGCTTACATGCTAGAGGGAGTGGGGTAAAATGACACAAAAAGGTAAGGATAGTATTGGACTAGTGACAGTTGCAGAAGAGGAATCAGTCAGGAGCTATTAACAGTTTAATTGATACGCTTTTATGGGTTTTTTTAACGATTTTTTGAAGGAATGGAGACTGGGTGAGCATCTAACGGAGGAGGGAAGCGAGTTCCATCGGAACGGTGCAGCCCTCGAGAAATCTTGAAGGCGAGCATCAGAGGTGGGAGTACGGACAGAAGATAGACATAAGTCTTCAGCAGATCATAAGGGCATAGACGGGACATACTTGTGTTTAAGGGAGGATAGATAGGTGGGACCAGCATTATGTAGAGATTTGAGCAATAACCAGAATTTTAAATTGAGCTCTATATTTTATAGAAAGCCAGTGTAGGGACTGACCGAACGGTGAGGCATGGGAGGTGCGGGCACACAGGAAGATGAGCCTCACTGCCGCATTCATTATGGACTGTAACGGCGCAAGTTGGGAGCACATAAGACCACTGAGAAGCGGATTACAGTAGTCAAGGTGAGAAAGGACAGTGGAATGGACCAACACCTTAGTCGCATCTGGCGTTAAGTAGGGGCGGATGCGCGCAATGTTTTTGAGATGGAAATGACAGGATTTGGCGATAGATTGAACATGAGGCTTGAAGGAGAGGTCGGAGTCAAAGAGAACACCTAGGCAGCGAGCCTGTGTGGTGGAGCTGATGGTAGCACCGTTGACTTGGAGGGAGACAGACACAGGAGTAACAACACTTGAGGGAGGAAAGACCAGAATTTCAGTTTTGGTCAAGTTTAGTTTAAGGAAGTGGGCAGCCATCCAGTTAGAAACAGCAGAGAGGCAGTCAGAGACACTAGTCAAGAGGGACGGGGAGAGATTAGGAGAGGACAGGTAGATTTGCGTGTCATCTGCATAGAAATTATATTGGAAGCCAAAGGAGATAATGAGTTTACCAAGGGAGGCAGTATAGATGGATAACAGTAGGGGACCAAGGACTGAACCTTGGGGGACACCAACAGAGAGGAGTTGGGGAGAAGAAGCAGATCCAGAGAAAGAAACACTGAAAGAGCACTGGGAGAGGTAGGAGGAGCACCAGGAGAGAGCAATATCTTGTAGACCGATATTGCGGAGAATGAGAAGAAGCTGTTAATGATCAACAGTGTCAAAAGCCGCAGACAGGTCAAGGAGAATTAGGATAGAGTAGTGACCACGAGATTTTGCAGCGAGTAGATCATTGGATACTTTGGTCAGTGCCGTTTCCACAGAGTGCTTAGCGCGGTCAAGTTAGTAGGTGGAGGAGGAACAGCAGGGCGAAGAAGAGAGTTAAATATGTGAAATAGTTGTTTGGGTTCGCGGGAGAGTGTGGTTATGAGGGTATTGAAGTAGTTAACTTTTGCAGAGGAAAGAGCCAAGCTGTATGAGCTCAGCATACATTTATAGTGGAGAAAGTCTATAGAAATATTGTTGACGGTATATCTATGGTATTGATACATTTACAGATCAATAAAAAAATTTAAAAAATATCTGTGATTTTCTAACTGTGATTTTGATTCCTTTTTGGGTTTTTTTTCTGTCTTTTACTGATCCACATTAACCAATACATAACATATTTTAATGGGACTATATTTTTTTGTCTTTAAATGTTAACTTTGATATACTTAAAAATGCATTATATGTTTTGCTGGCATCTTTGTATTTAATACGCAACTGACTCATCCGATATATTTATTTAAGTTATCTTTCTTATTTATTTCCTGAATAACCATCTTTAGCCACACAAATTAAAAAAAAATATTTTACATTTGTTTCCTTAGGGTATATGTTGGTAAGTGTATTTTTGTAACATTAGTTTAAAGATATTCCACTTATCAACTGTTTTCTTAAAAATGGTTCATCCTAGTCAATGAGCTGTAAATTTGCCCTTAGCATGCTGAAATTGGCCTTTCTATAATTTATCATTTTGGTAGAGTATTTTTTTTTGTTCTGTTTTTTTTTCAAACACCAGGTTATTTTACCAATTCTACAAAGGCTTCCTTACTGTATTGCTTAAAACAACAGCTTTACTTTATTATTAGTATTATTAGACACAGACAAGTGTATCATTTGGTTAGCACTTGTACTTGTCGAGGCATGAGGATGTTGGTTGTTTACAAGATTAAAATAAATGTTTTCTCACTGAAATATTTGTTCTAGTATTACAGTCAAAATCTGAGAAAATAAAATCATGATTAAAACATTCATTAAAACAAATCCACACAAATCTGCATATAGGAAAGCGCACTGGACATATTCTTGTATTCGTTTAACTTTTGATTGCTTTTACATACAAAGGACAAAAAGACTTTAAGGATTATCATACCTCCAGACATTGAGATGTATGAAATCTATAAGAGCGAGGAATATATGAGGGCAGTGTCAGAGTAGGGGTGTGTCAGTGGTACTTGTGCCCAGAAAGGGAGGTTGTCGGACTTGCACGCATCCAGATAGGTTGACAGGTAGCCTTTCAAGGCAGCCAATCAGGCATGCCACTAATGAAAACAGTCTTGTAGTGTCACAAATGCCCCAGAATATTCTATCCTACTGCTGCCATAACCATGTTCACACTGCATGTTAATGGCTTTTCTGGTGTTTCCAGAGGTGGGAGGAAAAAACTGGGATGACAAGACTTTCCTCATGAAATGTGGACAGTTGGGGGGTTATTTACCTGTGAATTCTATGGGAAACTGCATATTTTACATCAAAATAGCCATCAAAATAGCCTAGATGGGAAAAAAATTTGCCATCTAGCTATTTTTTTCCATTTAGTTATTCAGGGCCGTCTTTAATATGGATTGGAACCTGGGCAAACATTTGCTTGGGCCCCCTGAACCCGGTCGTCCCCTCCCTGGCATGCAATCATGCCCCCCACCCCAACGCAGAGGCAGACGTAAAGTAGAGAGGGCTCTGGTGCATGAATTATTTTGGGCAAGAGGGGGCAAAAGGTAGATCCCCATCTGTCATGCAACTCCAACAATGCTTTGACAGCTGGGGCGCTACCATTTTTCTATGCATGCAGGGTTATATTTAGCACTGAGCAGTATTTGTGTGTTTGAGTGTAAGCATGTTTTTGTATGGAGTATGTTTGTGTGAATGTAGGGGTGTGTTTGTATGTGGAGATGGCATTTAAATGCAAGTATGCATTTATGTGTAGTGTTGGTTTATGAATACACTGGTGTGCTTATATATAATTTTGTTGTTTAAAAAAAGAGGTGTGTTTATATGTAGTCTTGAAGTTTGAATGCAGGTGTGTATTTGCGTGTAGTGTTGAATGCTGAGATGTATGCACAAATGCACATGCACTGTCACAAACACACACACTGTGATACACATACACACACAGAAACACTTGCAGATACACAGATATACACAATCATACAGATGCAGCTATACAGACACATTTACACACACTGACACACACACATACAGACACACAACCTGGCACACATGCAGACACACAGATGCACACACGCACACACACACAGATACACTGACAACATACAGATACACAGACACACACAATGACAACATACAGACACACAGATACATACCCTGACAAATGCAGATACAAACACTGACACACATGCAGATACACACATTGGCTACATACAGATACATGCACAGGTATACACACAGGCACACACACACAGATACATACATACTGACAACATACAGATACACACTGACACACACACACACAGACACTGTGACAGACATACTGACACTGTGACAGACATACATACTGACACATACACAGACATACTGACTGGCACATCGACATACATACAGACACGCAAACTGACACACACAGACATACTGACATACACACAGATATACATACTGACACACACAGACATACAAACTGACACACACAGACATACTGACATACACACAGACATACATACTGACACACACACAGACATACATACTGACACACAGACATATACTGACTGACACAGACATACTGACACTCACACAGACATACTGACACACACAAAGACATACATACTGACGTATACACAGACAGACACTCTTCAGTTTCCTACCTTTGAAAGAGGCTTCCTTCCCTGGGGTCCAGTGTGCTGGCTGGGGTAGTTGGGAGTTGGGGGTCTGGCTCTTCTTGCTCCCCCTCCTCACTGGATGCTGGCTCAGCAGCCTCCCGCGCGGCCCGATATCTTTGAGGTGGGAGGAAGTGATTCGCGGACGTCACTTCCTCCCATGCAGCCGTTAAGCAAGGACCCGGTCGCGCTGTTAAAGGGCCACAGCGCCGACCGGACCCCTGCTGGAACATGCTCACTGGGTGGCCCTAAAGGTATGGGCCACCCGGTGGGCCCCCTTAGTGTGCAAGCCCCGGTGCAGCCGCAATACTAGCACCGCGGGCCCATTAGGTAGGGAAATATTTTAAAAAAATACATTTTTATTGCAGGCGACGGGGCCCACGGGGCAGCTGCTTTGGGCTTCCCATGAGTAACTGGGCCCAGGGCAGCTGCCCCGTTTGCCCCTCCTTAAAGACGGCCCTGTAGTTATTTGAACCTTAAAAAAATAATTGTGTGTCATAACCCCAATATACCCAGCAAGTGTATTCTAGCACCCACTTCTGACAATGCATAGCAATAAGCTGATATGCTATGGTAAGCAAAATTCTAAAATTATTATGTGAATGCCACTGACAAATATCTCCATGGATGAAATGTTGCAGACTTTGTGTCAAAATTGTGACTTGACAAGAGAAAGTCTAAATCTCTACCAACTCTAAATTGCACAGTCTAGATCACAACTGCAGAAAAGGTTCAAATGCAGGTTTTTTTTCTCCAGATACTCTGTCAGGCTGAATGTATTATGGTCAGAACCAACATAACCATTACTCCCTCATCCTTCCCAGGCTTCTAGAATGCAGCCATTAATTTTGATCTACAAACAATGCTTTGGAATGTGGAAGAAGAGAGGGGGCTTTTTATTTTTAGACCCTTTGCAGTGATACATAAGGCAAATATGAGCCCTTGGAGATGAATTAATTTCTCTCCAGTGTGAATACTGGTAATGGTACAAAGAGAAAGGTATATTATGACATCAAGGCTCTGTAAAGCGGTTGATGACAAATATGTAGGATAATTCACAATGTCTTAGTAGTATAGTTATCTGTGAAGCACTAACACTAATGTTGCTCTACCTCCATTGGTTTCCAAATACTAATAATACAGACAACTAATAGAGTAGCAGACCTTAAATAGCAGTCAGCCAGTTAAATGTCTGTTCTGCTGGAAATAAACTAGCACCCTTCCTTAATCAAATGAAAATTAAAATATAGAGAAAGAAAACTATTTTATTTGTGAGTTATAAATGGTTTGCATGTGCTCTAAAATGTTCTCTTCATTATTAAAATATAAACCATATTAAAAATACAAAACAGGTGTGTTAACTTTTTTTTTAACATAGGGAATGCAATGAAAGCTGTCATTTTATCTCCCAGTGGTACCAACATTAAAGCAAGTTAAAAAGCATTGTAGACACAGTTTTGTAAATTTAATTGAGCATATCCCTCAATATCATTTCAATTAAGCTAATTTGTGTGATAAATAATTCTATCTAGATGTAACAATTTACCAAAGCATATCGTAATTATCCGTTAATAATTTCATGATACTAATGAAAGAAATGAAAAATATTCTGGTTAAAAGAGATAAAATGTAACATTAACCGCAAAAAGAAATATGTGAGAATTAGTCAATGCATAAAATGTACTATTAAAAAATAAACAACAAGATAACATACTTGTTCAGCTTTAGGTTGTTTATATGTACAGTATATAGAGTTGTCGCTTGCAACAAAAGCATATTTAATTTCAATTACTTCTCTTTATTACTTTGAGACATACTTATTTGAAAAGGCAGATATATGTTCTCTCTTTGAGTGTGTTCATGTTTTGTAGAAACCAGCAGTTAATATTCATATTTATTATACAAAATTATGAACACAATATAAATATTCTGTATTCACCTGTAATTACAGGTCAGACAGAAGTTTTATTTTTGCCAGTTTCTTTCCAGAATGTTGTCATGTCTGCCAAGAGGTTGCCTTCTCTACTAGTTGAGATCTTTATGTTATCAATATACTTGCATTTCATATTATGTGCTGACTTACATGTAGTAGGTGATCAGTGCAGTTAAAATATTTAGGGTTGTTAAGATTTATATATATAGAAGGCGTATGCCTGTAGTTGTGGGAGGGATTTAGGCCTATTTAAACCCAAGGGACCCAAGCTTACCTGTCTTCGTCGATTCCGGAAATCTTCTCCTCGCTTCCGGTAAACGCAGACCTCTGACGTCATTTTCCCGCGACGCTCGGAAGAACGCTCAGGAACTCACAAACGCCAGCTCACACGAACGGCTCCATTCGGCAGTTCCCTCAAACCGTAAGTCCATTCTCTGTTGCTCATTCAAACCACTAATAAGAACTCTTTCGCATGGAATTCGACAGGGGGGTTTACCATTCGTCCTGTAGCACATTTCTTAAAGCAACATAGTCGTTATATACAGCATACGAATTTATGTCTAAATTTTATTTCTCTTCTTCCCAATCATTCATTATTTAATTTTCTTTGCGTTTGTTGAGTTAAATAAATTTTCATCTGATGTCCTGGGCAAAGAATTGTATTCATAACAGGGCAAGGAACTTTACATTTACGATTTACATAAATAAATAAATAATTTGGCATCAAGCATTTATTACACTGTTCACCTGTATTGTTCACAGTCCTCAGAAAATTACTTAGTTGTTTAATTTGTCGTTTAGTCGTCTGACAGCAATACTAAATTAGTTCACAGAGAGTCTATGCAGTAGCTGACGCTCGTACCACATCAGGGTTGATGCTTCCCTGGTCACCTTTCTATGAATTCGTGTCACGTACGCTGTTCATTTCTTTCCTTTCTAGGAATTCATTTTCGACAGTTGTACAACCAATTTACGTAGGTCTACACGTTCACGGTCCGGTTAGTGTATATAAAAAAAAAAAAAAAAAATTATAATAAAGTCTGCGATTTTCACTTATTTTACTCTATTACTCCTCCCATCCTTTTTGCAATAGGAGATACAGCTTGGGTAAAAATACCACCTGACCAAACAAACTCTTTAGTACGTGGCAAGTTCGCATACAGGTAAGGATAACGAACGTTTTATTTGTTTTATTTACGTACGTATCGTCCCTTGTAGTTTAGGTGGCTGGCTGTTAAGGTCATAGGTACCCAATAGCGTTAAATCTCATCCCGGCTCTCTTGCCCTAAAGTAGTGGTCCCGCGAGGCCAACACCCATCCTCAGTTCAGAGGTATTACGTCCCTCGGGACAATCCATAGGTAGCCGCCTCGCACGTGACATAGAGAGGGCCTCACCTGTCACTCCCATTCTGTCTTATGATTACTACTCACCGAGAGGCCAACACCCCGCCACAACGTTCGGTGGCCACGAAATTCCCTCGCGCCAACTCATAGATAGAGCCTCTCAAGCCACTTGGCACTTAGTAGGGCCTCACCAGTCAACAACCTAGTATAATTGCTTCGCCGCAGAGCGGCACTAGCTAGCCAGCCAGCACACTCGCTCACACTCAAAAAAAAAAAAAAAAATTTTTCCTAACATAACGTCTCCTTTCACGCCCATAGCATGTCTAACGATTCAGTTCAAGAAGAAGACCTATCACTGCCCAGCACTCCCTCCAGACCTGGCACTCAGCCAAGACAGTCCAGTACGATGTCCAACTACAGATCCTGGACTGTCCCAAAAATCACAGCCGAACTGAATAAGAGAAACATTCCCTTTCCGGCTACAGCCAGAAAAGCTGAACTTTTCCGCTTATTAAACTCCCAAAACATTGATGAGTTACCAGGCCCTAGTTCTGGTTCGTTGATACAAAATAGCTTGACAGAATTACGAAATATGATGACCTCCCTGGTGGCTTCAGTTGCTACCATAAATAACAGATTAGATAACCTGGAAGCCACTAGTCAAGCTAGCATTCCGGAAGTACAAATCCCACTAGGACAACCAGAGTCAAGCTCAGGAGGTAACGCCAATCCATTTCCTGCTAAAACATCTAATATAATTAACCCTGTACATTTGATACCACAAAATTTAAAAAAAGATATACTAGAAGGGAAAGATGTTAATCTAGCTTCTCTCCTCATTGCCTCACAGGATATAATCGAAAACAGAGCTTATACCTTCGACGATATTTCTGTGGTAATGAAAGCTAGAGATCCTAGGCTCAATAGAAAACTAAATATTCCTGAGTTTGTGCTAGCTTTTGGCTTATATAGAGACGTAATTTGCACTGCCTTCCCACACCGTAGAGAAGAGCTGGATCTATATCTGCACAAACTGGTGGAATTAGCTTATAAATACGGAGGTTACGCGTTCTACGACTACCATAAGTCCTTTTCTGCTAAGTCAGCCGCATCATTGGCCCAATTCAACACTCCCACCGATTGGAGTCAATTAGATACAGAATTATTCTGTAGACATTTTGCAGGGCTTAAATCATCAGCGTGTGCTATATGTGCATCAGCATCTCATTCGGCAAACTTTTGTCCTAGTAATATAGGTGGCCCGTCTAATAGCAATACCAGTCCAGACTATTTCCCTATTCAAAGGGAAATGAAAGATAAGCTAGGGAGACCTATAGTATTTCTCGGGAAGGCTCAAGTCTGTAACAACTTTTACGCGGGAGGATGTAGCTACAGCGCCTGTAGATTACTTCATGTTTGCTCAATCTGCTTCAGAGCACATGCAAAAACCATGTGTCCTAACAAACTGTTCCCTAAGAAAGCAATGACCCCAATAAACGTGACTAATTTACAACGTTACTTGACTGAACATCCTTCTTCTCACTTGGCGAACTTTCTGGTATCAGGTTTCACGACAGGCTTTCACACAGGTTTGGTAGCACTCCCGTCAGGCATACTGGAATGCCCCAACCAACAATCAGCTATTACAGACCCAGTCAGTTTAACGGATCTGCTCAACAAAGAAATTGAATTGGGTTTTATGATAGGTCCCTTTAATACTCCACCCTTCACCTCCTGGAGGACAAGTCCACTTGGCATAGCCACGGGCAAGTTTAACAATAAAAAGAGGTTAATAATCGATTTTTCAGCACCTCACACTTCCACATCCCCAAGCTTAAATTCTCTCATACCTTCAGAAGATTTTTCACTGCAATATGCAAAAATAGACGATGCCATACAAGCTATCGTCAACATGGGCGAGGCGGCCTGGTTGAGCAAGACAGATATTTCAAACGCTTTCAAACTCCTTCCAATTAAGCAGTCACTCTGGCA